TACAGGCTTCCTGAGATGTAGTTCTGAATTTAAAAATTGATCCGAGTTTTAAATGTATAGTGATGCAGGAACTAAATGTATTGAGTATAGACAAACTATCTAAAGCAAGACTTCACCAGAGTTTCCATTTATTTAAGATTGCTTTCAACATGTTCTGCACCTGCTATAGGTCTAATTTGGAAAATGTTCTATGTGCTGCTGAGAAAAACGTGTATTCTGATGCTGATGGGTGAAATATTCGGTAGATGTCTGTTAAATCTAGTTCATGCATGCAGTTGTTTAGATCTGTAGATTCTCTGTTGAGTTTTTGCTGAGTTGATCTATCTAGTGGGGATAGTGGTATGTTAAAATCCCCAACAATTAATGTCTTTGGATCTATGTGAAATTTGAGGGAAAGTAGTGTTTCTTGGATGAATTTGGGTGCTCCATTGTTTGGCGAATAGATATTTAGAATTGTAATATCCTCCTGAAGGAGAGATCCCTTAATTAGTATGTAGTAAACTTATTTATCTCTTCTCACTAATTTTAATCCTGATATTAGGGTTGCAACTCCCGCCTGTTTATGGGGGCCATTTGCTTGGTAGATTTTATTCCAGCCTTTCACTTTCAGAATATGTTTGTTGTTATGGGCAAGGTGGACTCTTGCAGGCAGCAGATAGAAGGATCTTGCTTTTTAATCCAACTAGACAGTCTGTGTCCCTTAATTGGAGAGTTTAGTCCATTAATGTTTGTTGTTAGGACTGAGAGGTGTTTGGTAGTTCCTGACATGTTATCCACCTTCTTGGGGGCTGCAACAGCTGGGTTCTTCCTATGGTTCTTGGATTCTCAGTTTGGGTGTGGTTTCTTGGTCATTATTGTGGTCTTGTTGGTTTTCTATATGTAGGACATCTTTAAGTATCTTTTGTAGGGCTGGTTTGGTGGAGATATATTGTTTCAGTTTTTCTTTGCTGTGGAAGGTTTTTATTTGACCTTCTGTTATGAAGGGGAGTTTAGCTGGGTACAGTATTCTTGGTTGATAGTTGTTTGTCTTTAGGCCATGGCATACATCATTCCAGGCTCTTCTTGCTTTAATTGTCTCTGGTAAGAAATCTGAAGTTGTTATAATAATTGGTTTTCTTTTATAAGAGATTAATCTTTTCTCCTTGACAGCTTTAAGGATCTTTTCTTTGGTCTGAATTGATCCTGTGCAAATTATCATGTGACAGTGGGATGTCCTGTTCTGATCTGGTCTATTTGGGGTTCTAAAAGCTTCTTGTATCTGAATAGACCTGTCTTCTTGCATGTTTGGGAAGTTCTCTGCTAGGATCCTGTTAAAATAAATTTCCTAGACCATTAACTTCTGTCTCTAGGTTCTCCTCTATACCCATTATCCTCAGATTAGGCCTTCTGATGGTGTCTTCCAAATGTTGAATAGATCTATCATATTTCTTGAATTTGTCTTGGATAGCTGTATGTTCTTTCTTTATAATAGCTAGACTGTCTTCAATACACGAGATTCAATCGTCTTCATGGTCTAACCTACTGTCAAGCCTTTCTATTTTGTTTTTTATTTCATTTCCTTATAATTGGTCAGCTTTGATGGCTTCAAATTCTTTGTAGGAGCTTTGTTTTAGATCTTGTATGAACTTCTTTACTTCCTTAATTTGGTGTTCAATGTTTATTCTTAAATCACTTAGTTGATTAGTCATGGTTTCCTTGGACTCCCTTTCCTTCTGATGGGCTCCATTCAGCATTCCCTTTGTGGTCTCACTGGATTCCTTCAGCTGTCTGTTTATGGATTCCATGAATGTCTCTATTGATCTTTGTCTATTGTCATCCCGCTCGTGCAATTCCTGTATTACTCTTTGGTTAGCTTCCTCACGCTTATGCAATTCCTGTCTTTCTCTTAGACTGTTCTCAGCCTGATTACACAATTCCTGTATTAATTTTTGAGTAGCTTTCTCAAGCTCATGAGATTCCTGTATTAATTTTTGGCTAGCCTCAACATGCTCGTGAAGTTCCTGTATTACTCTTTGGTTTGCCTTGTCTTGCACCCTATCACACTCACACTGAGTCCTTTGCAGGTTTACAGTCTTTTCATTCACCATGTTTACCAGTAGTGTTTGTAGGGCTTTTTGAGAACTCTCCTCTGGGTTATTAACTGTTCTCTCACCTGATTATCCTGAGTGGGAGCTGAGATACCCGGACTTGTCATTTTTTCTTGTGTTTCTCTGTCTTGTTTTGCCCATTTGACATGAAAATAACACCAATTTTGTGCTAGAACACTATATTAAGGCAAGCACAACCAGAACCCTGTAGTTGCACAGTCAAAATGGCAGATACAATCTAGTTCAAAAGATATAATCTATTCAACATCAAACAACTATGGATTAATGAGCTAAGAACATCCAAGAGGGATTCAGCAAACCAGAAATTATTAGGTTTAGGGAGAATTGTGGGGAAAAATAGGATTAGAGGGATGTGGAGAGATAAAAGGAGAGTGAATTTAACCAAGTCAGAATGATAGGACAGAATGATAAGAGAGAGATTTAAAAAAATAAGAAAAATGAAAAAACAAAAATTTAAATTTAAAAAATTATACACTTAAAATTATGTAAGTATAAAGAAATGATATTGAGAGAAGAAAAGGATAGGATGAGAGGAGGGGAAAGATAAAAAGAAAAAATGAAAAATAATTCTTAAAATTGGAATATTGAAAGTTATATAAGTATAAAGAAATAATACTACTATTAAAGAAGCTAAGCCTAAGAGGTTGTGAATTGAATAATAAGTTTCTGGATTTAGTATGTACATGATGAGGTATAAGGTCTAATAATCAACAATGGATACATATCTGTGGATAAGCAGAACAGCAATTAAGTCACAGAAAAAAGAAAGAGAAAAGAAAAAGAAAAGGTCAAAAAGAGATTTTAAGAAAAGCACACACACACACACACACACACACACACACACACTCCTAAAATAAAAATCGTAAAAGAAAAAAGGAAAAAAATAGAAAACAAAAAATAATAAATAGGTAGAAAAAAGAGTTCGTTGATTTTTTTTTCTAGTGGGAGGAGGAAGATCTTGTATGTCCCCTGTGTCAGTAACCAGTCTCTTGGTAGGGTCTCTGGTGTTTGGTTTTCCTGTGGCTTGATTGGTTTCTTAAGTTGGATTGTTTGAGCCAGGCAGACAGCTCTGCCTTACCCAGGACTTAGTGATCCTCCTCCCCGGCTAGTTCAGTGGGAGGGAGTTCTGCTTTGAGTATCACAAAAGAGGGAGATGGCTGGTTCCTCTAGTTTGGAGATGCTGTGATGAGGCTAGGTTCTGGGTAGGGGTGAGGCCTTTCAGCAAACAGTAGCTTTTCCCTGAGAGGCTAGCTCCTGAGACACACACAGAGCCCAGCCTGGAGCCATTCTCAGGGCTTATGTTTACTGAGTTTCAATTGTTTGTCTAGGCTGCAGCATGGGGAGGGGCAGCCTCTGGCTCTGTTTACCCAGTGAAGAAAGTCACTCTTCCGGGGGCAGAGCTTTCTCTGCCTGGGCAGGGTGACTTTCCCCTGTGTGGAGCTAAGCCTGGCAGGTTAGGTCAGGTTCCTGTGACTTGCTAATGGCTCCAATTGTTTCCTTCCAAGGCCTGGGTTGGAGCTAGTTGTTCGGCCAGGCCTTTGTCCATATCAAAGATGGAGATTTTCTCTGGTGGTGGGGGAGGAGCTGCCTTCGTACTGAGGCTTCCCTTCATGAGAAGGAGTGAGGATGTCAGGGCTCTACTCATGCCAGACTCTTGGTTCCTGGGCTGTCCCTGGTATGTGATCTGCAGGATGAAGATTTCTGCTCCTTGTCAGTTCTTGCTGGTAGTGAGTAGAATCCGCTCGCATGATACCTCTGGTGCCTTTGTCCCAGACTTTCTCTGTTGGTATGGTGGCTGCAGCTGCCACAGCTGCAGCTACCAGCAAGTGCTCAGATCTGTCTCCTTGACCAAGCTGCCTGGATTTTCCCTCTCTGGCCAAACTCTCTGTACTGTGATGGCACACTTGGTGTGATTCTCTAGCCTAGGACTGTTCACTGGAACTCTAAAACTGCTTTCTGTGTGAGAGCTTGTTTAGCCTCCAGCTTCTCCTCTACCATCTTCCTTGGGTCTCCTAGTACTTACTCGTGTGTAAGAGTTCCCATAAATGATATGAGAGGGAAAGGTCAAGAAGAAATATTTGAAAAATGGAATTTTTGTACAATTGTAAAGGTAGATATGAGCACTTTAAGATGGTATTATCAGATAATATTTAGTAAAGCCATGCTTAAGAAATTTCCATGAAATTGAACAACCTTGGGTATAAAGAGAAAATTTAAAACTAGAGGTTTGTACTGAGAGCTGGCCTTTGACAGTGGACTTGAATTTATTTTTCTAGAGAACACAGAAAATGCAATAGAGAAATATTTAAATTATGTGCAAAGATAACAATCCAGGTATTCTGTAACAAACCCAAAACATTGTTCAAGGATAAAGAAAAGAGAATATACAAACAAAATTTCCAAAAACAACATCAAGTTAATTTCATCTAGGTAATTAACATAAATGAATCTCCCATTCATTTATCTTCTCCAGAGTAGTTAGGGAATGCTGTTCATAAGCAAGCAACTGGAATAGAGAAAGGCTTTATCTATGGGAAATAGCATAGAAAATTTTACAGTATTACAGAGTTTAATTAATGTTTTCTGATTAACTATACTTTTTCACTTCACAATAAAGTTAGTCTTTGAAAAGATAGTAGAAAGCAGTGAAACAGATGGTTGATATGTAGAGTGTGATAATGCTAGGAATACAGAAATGTTAAGTCATTTGATGATTTTGAAACTGATTAATCCCAGGAGAACATAAAGTTCAGAGGAAAAAACAATGTGTCTATCCAGCAGCAAACATGAAATAAAATGTATTTTATTTCAAAATGGATCAGTAACCATAGTTTACATCAGTAGATTAAAGCTCTGATTATCTGGTTCTTTTCTATTTGCTGTCTAGCCACTATGAGGGACCAGAGAGATGGTGTTAGAAGCAACAGTTTCTACACTTCACACTATTCGTGGGATCATTATCCCCATAAAAGGGATGCTGCATTTTTCAGAGAGTCACCTGGAGGTCGAAAGGACTCTCCACACAGCAGATCTGGCTCCAGTGTTGGCAGCAGAAGCTACTCTCCAGAACGGAGCAAACCTTATTCATTCCACCAGTCTCAGCACAGAAGAAGAGAGAGATCTGCTCAGTCTTTGAAAACATCAGGAGACACTTCAACTTGGAGCTCTTCAGCACTTCCTTCCTCAAAGAGGGTACCTGCTGTACCATTAGTCACTGAGAAGCCTGAAGAACCTGAGTCAAACACAACGGATTGGATAGAATTATTTGAAGATGCTCAGCTAGACAGTCGCTCTAAAGCAATAGCATCAAAAATGAAGGAGATTGAACGGATTTACAGGCAAGACTGTGAAACTTTCGGGATGGTGGTGAAAATGCTGATTGCAAAAGAACCCTCATTAGAACAGACTATACAGTTTGCTCTGAGGCAGAATTTGCAAGACATAGGTAAGCGGTGTATTGAAGAGCTGAAGAATTTCATTGCAGAGTATGATAATGCTACTCAAGGTTTTTGAAATCCTTTTTAGAAGAGTTACTGTTCAGGAAAAATAAATAAACAAACAAACAAGGAAGTGTTTCTAGATTTAATAACCCCTGCCTCTGGAGTGTGTAAATCCTTAATATGTGGAACTTTTGTGGTGAAGAGAAATACTTTATAATATACGACCACATTTCCAATTCAGTTAAGCATCTAAATTAGTTTTGTAAAGATAGTGTAATTAGATTTTTTCTTAATGTAAAGCCAACTAGTCCTTACTCATAATCACATCTCCTCATTCCAAAAATGGGGGTTAATTTATTAATCTTTGAAAAAGCACTTTCTTTGTAAAGCAGTTTTTGTACTTTTTACTCTTCCATGTAGTGGTTTGTTTGGCCATGTGAGTATATTTTCTACTTAGAGATCATTCCATTTAACCATGAGTAGTCTTTTGCATTCTTTTTTTTGCGGGGGGGGGGGTCTGGTTGTGGGCCTGAACTCTGGGCCTGGTGCTGTCCCTCAGCTCTTCAGCTCAAGGCTAGCGCTCTACCATTTGAACCACAGCGCCATTTCCGGCTTTTTTTTCCTGCTTATGTGGTGCTGAGGAATCGAACCCAGGGCCTCATGCATGCAAGGCAAGTGTTCTACCACTGAGCCACCTTCCCAGCCCTCTTTTGCATTCTTGTAGCAGAAAATGCCATGTGAAAATCATTAGCATTTGAGTTGTGATTTTATACTGATTCTTTGTGTTTGTTAGGCCTTGTAACATTGAGCAAGTCAAGGGTACTGTCTTAATAAATTAGTACTCTGCTATTTTAGTGAATTCTCATTCAGCAACAAAACAACTTTAAAACCTCTATAGTACACCTTAAAATTATTTCCCCCAAATAAGTGAACTCTCTGTGCTTTCTCCATTAAAACACTCTTGAAACTTTTGAGTACTCTGACAAAATCTTAAACATTATCATGTAATAAGAATAAAAGAAAGGACAATTTGAGATGGAAGATAAATATTTTATTTTTTATTTTTATTTTTATTTTTGGTCTGGTCATGGGGCCTGAACTCTGGGCCTGGGCGCTGTCTCTGAGCTCTCCAGCTCAAGGCTAGCACTCTACCACTTGAGCCACAGCACCACTTCCGGCTGTTTTTTTCCTGCGTATGTTGTGCTGAGGAATCGAACCCAGGGCCTCATGCATGCAAGGCAAGCGCTCTACCACTGAGCCACCTTCCCAGCCCTGGAAGATAAGTATTTTAATGATGTGATTCCTCAAACATCTTTCTGAGGAAAAATTCAGCATACACCAGAGGATTGGAGATTTACATTTTCATAAGCTCATAGTTAAAAATGGGTGATTGATCACATGAGCGTGATTAAACTATTTATAGATTAGTCATGCATTAATCTCTGTAATCTGAGTGTTTTGTTCTGCTTACTTATAGATGTTCCTAAACCATCAAAAGAGTTCTTGAAAGAAACAAAGGACAATAAACAGTAAGCCAGCAAACAGTCCTGTGTACCAATCCTTCATGAGTGAGCCAACCAATGTTCTAGTGGTCCCAGTTAGTTTCTGAAACTTGGTTGCCTTTTTATTATTTTTTAAGATCTCAAAAATCTTTACAATATCTGCTTTCCCTCTGCTGATCATCAGGCTTTATGATAGGACAATGAAAGTTTTGTCACATTAGTTGGGAAATGAAAAAAACAATAACCTACAAACAATAAGAACATTTAAAAAAATATACTGTCAGGAACACATCTGAATTTATGTACCATAAATTAGACTTTAAAAGGCATTTAAAAAGCAAAAACCCAAACAAGTTGAATTACCACTGATAAGCCTAACAGAATGCTGACAGTGGCAAGCATTGTGCAGCTTGAAATGCTTGTACCTATAACAAAATTTATGTTAGGAAAGGAATTTTTATTTAAATATAGATCAAGATAGATACAGAATCCCAGGAGCAAATCAAGTTACCCCCTAAAGAGAGGGATGGAAGAGAAACAGAGATGAATAAAAGCAGAACAATGTGTTATAGCAGCAAATAGGCTTTGGAACTAAGAAAGAAAACCAGAACCACCTCCTAGCTTCAGAACCTCTGAGTTTCCTTATCTCTGTCTACAAAACTCTGAAAGGCTGAATATATAATACTCAATGAGCATTAAAACATGGACTAACTAGCTCACTCCTCATATGTGCGCCCTCAAGCCAAACACCATCATGACTTTAGCCAAGGGAGATTGGGTGTAATGGCTTGATACTGTTTGGAGGACCATGAATGATGTGGCTTCACAGCCAGTGAGTGTAAGCAAAGACTCGGGTGCAGGCTCATGTTTCAATGGTTGGGGAGAAATTCACAGAAGTGGAATGTTGATCCAGATTGGAAGCTGGTAGAAAGTAGAGGTGATTCTATAATTGATTTCCAGTAATTATTATCTAGAAAGCAGGAAGAGTAGAATAAGACTAGATGTTTAAATGGTAAGGAAATAATAAGCACTTGGAAGTAGAGTTGTGGCTCAAAATGACAGAGCACTAGCCTTGAGGAAAAGAGCTCAGGGATAGCACCCAGGCCTTGAGTTCAAGCTCCACAACTGACAAAAAAAATGTTAGTTAAAAAAAAGAAATTATACATGCTCCTCTTATTCAGGAGAGAAGAGTGTTTGGTCATTTTCGTGGGGGGGCATTAATTTTTATATTTGTCTGTGTTTAGACAGGATTATTGAGTACTGTTATTATTGTCCTAATTCATCTCAGTTGTCTGATTCATCTCAGAGGAGTCTGATGTTGATGCTGGAGAAAGTTCTTCATGGTCAGCAGGTCAAGACATAAGGCCAGGAACTTCACAGTCCAGCTGATAGAGGTGGCCATCTGCGCTGGTACATGCTCCCTTCCTTTACCACCCATAACAATCTATTAAATCTTTAGTTATTATTGAGATATTCTCATTTTAATTTACAGAAGAGTAGGTATTCACCATGTACACCGTTATGTTTTCAATTATGTATATATTGTGGGAAAGCTAAATCAGACCACACAACATATAAATTACTTAATGTACATTTTTGTGATGATACAACTTAAAACGTACTCTCAATCATTTCCAAAAATATAGTACATTGCCACTAACAATACTCACCATGGTGAATCACGGGTATCTTGAACAAATAATTATTCTCAAAAAGTTTGTAGCTATTGGCCAATACTGCCATAACTCCACCACTCCAGTCTCTCATCTCACACATGTCTACAGCACACAGATAAAGAAGCCAAGCCTACCCAGCCACTAAAAAGGAAGAATGGAATTTGAATCCAGGTGCACCTCTGGGGGATCCTGACCAGTGCCTATAACTTGTATATAATTTGATCTCTTGATGACAGTTGGTATCACCTTAAAATCTGTACTTGAGGCATGGATGCCCCTGACTCGTGAAAAGCCTTCAACAAAGAAATGTGGGACCGAGTTGCTATTATTATAGGCATATTTTTCATTTTTCAGGATGCCTGCATTTTGAGTTAAGCATCTGAGAAGGAATTGGAAACTTGCTTCTAGGCCAGATTTCATCATGAGCTGACTCGGGAGGAGCTACAGAATTACTAAAAAAAACTCTAAAAGTCCTGTTGTCTAAGGAAGATTAAGAATGCTGAGTGAAACCAATTTGATTTTGTTTGGGAAAAGGACCTTCTCTAAATAGTCTGGGTTAGGAACACAAAACAAAAATATAAAGATTCTTTCATTATTTATTCTTAAGAAATATAAATTTGAATTTAAAGTTTCCTATAGTGTTGACTGCAATTTCAAAATCAAGGTGTAACAGATAGGGCCCCTCTATGGAGCCAACATCTGAAGCAGGAATAAAACCATGGAGCTTCAGAATAACATGCATCCTTAAGGACATGCTTTTCCTCAGAATGCAAATCCTATTAGAAAACTCTCTAAGTACAACTATTTTCTAAACTGCTGTTGGTGTCATTCCATTATTATGCCACCAACTCCAGGCTCCTGGTGACTCCATAGAAAAATCTGGTTGTTACAGCTTGTCACTTGGGTGTCTTGAATCCCGTTGTCCATCTCACTACTTCTCCAATTTTTATCTTTCTTTCTTCTCATCTCAATTCTCTACTAGTCAGGCTGGCAAACAAAATAGATCACATGGGCTTGGTTGTGCTGATAAATCATTGCATTTGCCCACCAACGCGACATAATTTTATTTAAAAAAAAAACCTTTTTGATAACGAGATTCCAGCATCTTGGCAGGGACAGTAAGAGATATATTATTTTGCATACCAGGAAGAGTGTACTTCCTGAGTAAAAGAGTATGTCAACTATTCGCTAATATTTTCAAGATGCTCAAAATAGGTTTTCTCTCCTAACTCTAAAAACTTCCAATTTGAATACCGTGTTTGTAGGCTAGAGAGGGAGGAGCTACTTATGAAATCAATAAATACAGAAATACAATTTTACTACCTGGCTTCTATGGAATAAGAAATTAGTATTTTTTAACTTTATGAGTTTCTGTGAAATAACGTTCAAGTAATAAACTTCACTTGCTGACCGTCATATGTGACACACTGATGAAACAAAATAATTCTCAATCTCAAATGATTCAAAAAGAGTAGAGAACATTAATTTGAAATTTTTTTCAGAAAACATCTATAATTTAATTCTGTGCAGATCATACCTGGAATGTCTCCTAAACTTTCTACCTGTTTAGTTTAAATGCCACCTAAGGAGAAAAGAAAAAAAAATCAACCCAAATGGTCCAGATTCACCTTTTTTTTTTAAGAAATATCAACTGGAATTCTTAATTACCATAAATTGTAATGAACAAGCTTACAAAAGAGGCCACAGTCAATACTATAAGGAAAGCACTGGGCTTGCATCTACATGAGAGTTGTGGGAAAGTACAGATGCTGATAGACTTACCAAGGGCTTAGCCTCTGATTAAAAAAAAAATACAAATGCAGAGGGTTTTTTTAAGGCACAGATTTGTTGAAATTCAATATTCAGGATGGTGTTTTTGCTTTAGCCATTTTACTTCATTTCTTTACTGTTTTAGCAAATCACATGAAATTTATCATGGGATTTAAAAAATTAACAGCAAACTTGATACTTTATAATAGGAAATGAGTGAATTTAAGGACATAAGAAACTGTTCAAAACTAAGCAAAGATACTGCTTTGACCATGTTATGGAGATGAGTAGTTGTATGTGTTTCCAGTTTATTTAAAATAGAAAACTTAATTATCATTGAAGAAGTGTTGGGAGAGAGGCGAACAAACTATTTAAAAATGTTGAATCACAGAAAGAAAATAATTAAAAGATTTCTTTGTAGGGAAAGGCCAAGAAAGGCCATTGTATCAGACAATGTCTGTGGTATCTTGCAGCTTTAAAAATCATTTTGACTCTGAATCATTTTAATTCTTATGTAAGTTTTATATTAGATTACATTTTTTAAAGTTCAGATTTTTGTCTTTATACAGTTTTAAAGTTGCTTGATAATTTTAAATATCTACATGCTACAAGAAAATACTCACAAGAGAGGTTATCCAAAAAATTGTACTGTGATAATTCCAAATAGCCTCTTTAGATTTATACATTAACTTCAGTTTGTCATAAAGGTAAACAAGTCACATTGCAGTAAGGTCCATTTTGAGCCAATCTTACATGTAATTTAAAAGACCTTTGAAAACAAAAGTTATTTTGGTCATGTACTGATTGTTGGAAGAGAGGAAACGGTGGTCCTTTGACATTGCATTTATCATTATATTATCACTGTGGAATTCTGAAGCATAAGCTCTAGTTTTAGAAATTTGAGCTATCCTTATTATCTGTGAACGCCTTCTCAACCCCATGACCCAAAGTATTAATAACTCAAATGTTTAAGCTGTAGTGGGGAATTTTAATGAATTGTTCTACAAATCTTTTAAAGATGTTACAAAGAGACATGTCTATTTAAAACAGAATCAAAGTATCACAGGAAACCTTGTCTTTCTGTTCCTTTCACACAAATGCTTAATATGAAACATGTACGCTGGCTTTGTTTCTTTACACACAGAGGAATGGTAGGTTTGTAACACTAGTCACACCAGACAAGGGCAGAGACTACAGAAGGATTATGTCAGATGGGTGTCTCAATTTGTCTACATAGTGTCACTGGTGATCATGTGGGCTAAGCACCCATCAACCCAGTCCCTGAATTTCAAATATCTCATATTTCATCCATTATCTGATCCCCAATTTGTTTATGAGAAACCCAAAGTCCAATGAACGTAAATGACTTATTTATGGTACTATAGCTATTTTTAAAAAGAGAGCTTGGAATCTAAGTCCTCTGTCTCTTGACCAGGTGTTCCTTCTACAATAAAAAGCTAGAAACCAATGTACTAAAATGTGCCCCCCCAACAACAATCCTGTCATGTCTGTCTGTTCCCTTCCCATCTGAACTTCACTTGTCACCTTTGTAAATGGCCTCTTTTAATAGGGGTCTGCTCA